AGAATCACCTTCTTTAGTTCCCTTTAAAAAACAACGCTAATCAAATTCAAGAATACAATACTTATAAATCTCAATAGCGAAAAAAGAAAAAAGAAAAAAAAGTAATACTTGCATGACAACCAAAAAATACAAACCCCATTGGAACATATTTGTTTTGGTCATTGGTTTCAAAGAACAATCAATTGAATGCATCTAAGTAAGTAAAGGAGAAAATCAAATAAAATTTTTACTTGGAATGAAAAGAAAACTAAAAAGCATAAATAAGTAAACAACTTACCTTGAAGTATTTAGAGAGAAAAGTTGGTGACAAAAAGAGCACTTGTCGGACTCATAGGAAAAAAAAAGAAAAAGCTGAGTGGACGCAACGGTGACTTGATAAGACTAAGATTTAAGTCTAAAATAATGTTAAAGACTAAAGAGAAAAGGAGGAGTCGAAACTTGAAAGTCAAAGGTTATATGAACTATGGAGGTTGAAGAATATGAGAAGAGTTTGAAATTTGAAGAGTTAGAGTCTTCGAGAGTATTAAGGCTATTAGGGCAAGCAAGAATAGGAAAGGTCGGGAGGTAAGTTATGAGTAGAGTAAGATTATTTTTACTTCTAGAAAATGATGAGTCAAGAGAATCAATTAGTTAATTAGGGAATATTAGTTAATTATTAGAGGTTTAGGTGGGATTGGGAATTGGAAAACAAAATAAATAAATAATAAATTAAAAAATTTTATATTTTTAAATGGGTAAATGGGTCAAACCCGTTAACCCGATGGGTCAATCCGTTATTGACCCGTGACCCGTTGGGTTCTCTTAACAGGTCATTAACCGATCACGGGTCATAAATATACGACCCTAACCTGTTTTAAACGAGCGGGTAATGGGTGGGTTAACGGGTTGGGTAAAAAATTGCCAAGGCTACTTTAGGCTCAATTCTTATTTCCTAAGCACAAGTTCAGTGTTTTTTTGAAACAATTACATAGGTACAGTGATGGAACATAGCACAATTCTAATATTGGTTAGTTTGAAATTGCTTGGAGTCCCATATATATCTTACAACTCACGCACACGGAGTCGATGTGGGACAACTGCCCCACAATCGATGGTGGGCCCCCACTATCGATGATGGGCCCCCACTCAAGAGGGTTTGTCTTTTTTGAAACAATTACATGGGTACAGTGATGGAATACAGCACAATTTCAAAACCGATCAGTTTGAAATTGCCTGAAGTCCCATATATATCTTACAATTCACGCACACGGGGTCGATGTGGGACAACTACCCCACAATCGAGCACAAGTTCAGCGTTGAAAGTAAAAGGCTGAAGCCTAGAAGTCCAAACCTGTGTGCTTGATATCGGAGCAATCCATGATAAAAACTACACAAAATTTGAAATTTTCAATTTTCTACAATTATTATGGAATCCTACTGTAATATAGGAATTAAAATTTCTAAGTTCAAGGTATATAACATCCAAATGAGAGAAGTTAAAAAACATGGGAAGATTGTCTTTATTATACATTACAATTCCAAAATAATAAAAAAATCTTTTCAATATTCTTTAATAATAATATATTTAGTTTAAAGAAAATAGAGAAGAAAAAATAAAAAA